TTTTTTTTTTTTTTTTTTTTTTTTTTTAATGTATTTAAAGAAAAACACGTACGGTATCCGCGATGAACACTTTTCGCAATAAACACACAGAAAGTTCAATCGATTATAATAAGTTTGAGAACTTTTAAAAATGTATAACGCAATAAAGAAGTTAAATTGCAAAAATTTTTCCACAAAGAGAAAAATGTGACCACAGCGCTTGAACAGAGTTTCCGAATGTGTCTTATTTGTTTAATAATCAATTGCTGTACTGTAACTTCCTTATCGGTTTCGTCCACTTCAAACTGCGCTAAAGGATCTTTGTCACTTAATTCAACACCTTGAATAAAAATAAAATCACTAATAAATAATACATAAACATACATAGGCCTCCTCCACCATGGTAGGCTATATTAGTGAAGCGATATAAACAGAATAGGGAGGCCCTTGCAATGGTTTCTTGTAGCCTGAGCGAAATCGCAAATTCATTTACTGAACCAATAGAGCGTTTCCAATACTTGACCACGTGAAATAAATATATTACAGTAACAATTTAGTTGCACCACGGTTTTTATCAATTTATACGCAACAATTTAGTTGCACCACGGTTTTTATCAATCGTTCGATTGTCTTATTGTTGTAAACCGACACGCAACCAAATGGCACCTGTATTATGGTGCGAGGAACGAGATATAAGTCTGAAACCATCTTGACGTTTATGTAAAATATATTTTTTATTGTTTATGATGTCCGATTAAAATAAATGGAAAATATATGAACTTTAATGATACAGTTCGCTCCACTGTAATCGTATTTCATACTTCAGACAATGAGAACTCTGAGTAAAAGGCAATTAAACCTCAAATTGGTTTATTCGAGTTAGTTCATCCAGTGAGGTTCAGGAATTATGTTAGCCAAAGGTGTTGCAAACGTTACGATTTAGAAAAAAAAAATTTTATTACAGTCGTTCAGCTAAGGAACAATATGTATACTCAATGGCGGTAGAGTCCGCCCAATTGATTCGAATAAGCAAAGAAACCAGAAATGATGACAAAGCTTATTTAAATATAACTAATGAGTGTCACACTAAAGAATGATCTTATTATTTTATGTGCAGTAAATTTAAGAAAACTAGATATTCGCTTGAGATTTGCGGCATGTACAATAACTTATATGGAAGCGTTCGTGCTCGCAACATAACTGCTGACTTTTCCTTTCAAGTTATAATAATTACAGAAAAAATTTTTGTCTTGCCTAACAGTATTTTTACAAATTTTATAAATCCATAACTGCCATGCAACCATAGCTAGACTAAACTCTAGAACGGACACTACATATTTATATATATATATATATATATATATATATATATATTTTTTTTATGTATACATGAAAGTCAGCTAAAATAAATTAACGGCCGAATTTAATTGGCGCTTTGAAGTAAATATTGTGGTAAGTGTTATTATTAACAATTAAAGAGTGTTTAAAAAAAATAAAGAAAAAATATAAAAATAAAAAGAACAAAGCTTATGTACAAATAAACACAGAAATAAAAGCATGTACACATCTAGCAGAGAGACACATCCATAACCGGCGTAAATCCTTCTTAGAGGTGAACGCCAAGCCATTGCTACTATACAAAAGCTTGGCAACTTGCCAATAGTGAAAAGATGTTCAATTTTCGATTCCTATGAACAGAGATAGAGTTTCTGATTTGTTATGTTACATCCAGTTAAATCGGAGCCAACAGAAGAAAAGTTTTGACGGAAATATTTAGCAAGGAGATGCGAGGTTTCAATATCAACAGACAGTTCGGAGCCATTAAGAAAACTGAAGGAGGGATATGTGAACATTCTTCTTTTGGAGTTAGCGAATTAATAAAAGTATTTAGGGTTACGAGGATTATACACTGTGAAGGTAATTGCGGTAACTTTGTTAGCAGAAGGGACTATTACAATTTGAATAATTACTCGTCAATAGAGATTAACACCACTGAATTATCAATAACCCAACTATAATCAACTATAATCGTCACGTGATCTGCATTTCTGTTATCACATTTATTACTGTCATCAACCTGAAGCTCTAAAGAACTTGTCTCAAAAGCTCATATCGCTGTTGGACATATAGGTTTATTATAGGTTTATTATAGGTAATTAATTCATTTTGTGTAAGATTCTAATGTTAACCCAAAGCGGGCCTGAAATCCACTTGATTCAGTCTTTTGAGAGTAAAACACTTTGTGTTCATATTGCTCCTTTTTTTATACCAAGGCTATCATCTTTTAAAAAGAGATTACTCTTTACGCAAAGTGGACCATTTAAATCACGTATAAACAGGGAGTTCAGTGCATTTCTTAGAGACAGTACGTTTGTTGTTGTTGTTGGCGGCTGTTTCCGAATCATATTCTTCGTTTGATTTTTTTAAAAGAGTAGTGGAATATGCCAGCTTTAGGGATAATATAGATCACGTCAATTACACATTTTTTTCAGTGAATTTGATGTCAGGCATTGTTAGCGACAAATTAATAAATAACGACGATTTTCTTATGTTGTCACATAGTTTTCGGTGTATGAACATACTTTTTAAGTGTCTTTTAGTTAACTACCTCTCATTGAAAGGCAAGTAATTATCTTACTAACAAAGTTTTCTTCATTAATAAATTTTTACAAAATGAAAAGCTTTTTAAGCAAAGTTTTCAATCATTCTAGTTTCTCGTTCCCAAAAGCAAAATACAATAATCTCGTGTCTACAGCTATTTTTCTCTCAAATTCACATAACATGCGTCGATTTACAAACATTCTGCAGGTTTCTTGTTCAATTTCTTGGTGTAGGATGCTTGTTCTTGTTCTCATTCTTGGTGTAGGATGTTTGTTCTTGTTCATTTTCTTGGTATAGGATGCTGGTTCTTGTTCAATTTCTTGGTGTAGGATGCTTGTTCTTGTTCCTGATACGATACTTCGATCGTAATCATGTACACAACAGCCGGGATGTTTGGTGTAAGCCGCACGTGCTAAAAGAAAGAAAGAAATTTTTTTTTATTGATTATCATCAAATTTTAGGGCTTGGCCGGCAAAATATGATGAAATGAAGGAAATGATACTAGATCCTAAAGATGGACAACAAACAGTACGAATTATTGCTATTCGAGGTAACAATTTCCACTAGTTGAAACGGCCGATACGGAAATTGAGAATTTTTTAAACGAGGCGATTTCATTCTAGTGGAACCAATCGAAGAGGGCGATAAAGTTAAAGCAGATATTTGTAAGATCTTAACAGTCGAACATATCAAGGAATACATCAAGGCTGAAAGTAATTATGTTAAAGAAAGCTTTGATGAAAACGTAGAGGAAAAATTCATTGGACCATGTCATTTATCTCCGAATAGAAATCGCCCAAACATTTTAGCAGCATTTGAAGATGAGAGTACAAGTTCAGAAGATGACAGCTAACTTAAATGCTTACCAATTTACATAGCAAAATGTGCAGATTATCTATTTTTAATATCTACTATGTAACTCGATCACATTTATTTTCATAATTTTCTTTTTTTTTATACCGTTTATATACAACTTTTGAATCATAAAATATTAAGTTTTATTTTGAACTAATTGCATTTCGCCTTTAATAATAAATTGATTAGCTTCAAAGAAAACCCTCTCTTAGCAAATTCCTTGGCATAGAGATGAAGATAGAAGACTATTTACACTCGAGGAAGTCGTTAATTGCATATTTAAGTATTAGAAAAAAATATTCTTGACAAAAAACGGCAAGAGTCAATTACGTGGTCCTGCGTTAATCATTGCATTTCCATAAATGTGAAATCAAAAAAGTGTCACCTATAGTTAAAAAGTTTTTATTTTTAATTATTTTAATGCATTGCGCTGAAAGAAACAGGCACTTCCCTAATAATATAATTAATTAGTCTCGGTTTGTACTGAATGGGTGTTTCACAGAGTTAATTGGGTGACCTGAAATTATTAGCAATATATACAGATTCTTGTCTTTGAAATGTCGAGTGATCTCGCGACGTTGGGTTAATTTCTTTGCTAGGCTTCTTGGATAACGATAAAAAATATTTTCGAGCCGTTTTTGGAGTATACAGTCCTTCTGACGGGTTGCTCGGTGTTTGTTCTTTTTTTTTTTTTTTTGATTTACTGACAACAAACGATTTTTACGAATCATCATTGGAACATTTAAAGTCTAATGCCCGATGTTTAAATGTTGCCAAGTATTTTGAGATTTTAAAATGACTTGTTTGTATTCATCATCAAGAGCCAACAATGGTCTACCATCAGTGTGTAGACATGCAAACTGCTTTGAATTATCTTGAGTGAGAACCCATTCACTTAATACAATACTAGTATAATCGTTTCCAATATCTCCACATTCCTCGTCGTCTTCAGCTTTTTAATTCGACTTTTTGTCATCTGTTGACAACTTGCGGCTACATCTGGGGTGATATTCTTCGTCTTTCCTACTTGTTAAAGATGTGTTAAAATTTTTTTTTCAGACAACACGCTTTGATTTTGGGAAATAATTTTTTTTTTTATACAATGTAAATTATCCTCAATATCACCGTCACTTTCACTTTGATCAAATTCGTTTAACAGGCCTTCCACAAGTTTTTTCCCTTTCTCAGATATTAGCACATTCTTGCCATTAGCCGTTCGAAAACTTGTGGTTTTGTCTACTTTGTCTACTTGTGCACTATCTTTCAGTCCAGCTTCGTAGTTTTTTCCTTTCTTATAACATTTTGTGCGGATTTCTGCCATTCCTCCAATATGGGCTTTTTTCTATCATTCGCTGTTTGAAAACCTGCAGAAAACAGCGAACTTACCGGATTATTGAACTTGTCCACCTCATCTTGATGCATTTTATTTTTCACTTCTTCCAATTCGTTTTCAATATAAATTTGACGTGCGTCGGTACAATAAATAACAAAACCATGCAAATACAAATAAAAACAACATTATGTAAAACTTCTGATGAAATAAACTTAAATGGAATATTAAGCACTGTTAACAAAAAAACTAAAAAAAAAAACAAATTCAAAAGTGAAAGTAATGAGTTGCATTGCTTTCTTAACTGTGGCGAATAGATGCACATGTGGAATTCTTTTAAATTTCCATGACTTGTGAATGATAATGCGTTGGCGATTTTGGCGTTATAACCAAAACTTTTGCAAGTGGGGAATTATTCACCGATGGAACAGAGCCGTGAGTACAATTGTAACGTAAAGATTTGGTTTTTTGCAATTTGTTTTATATATGTTTGAAAGCCTTTACGTGG